GTTGCAGAAATTTCAAAATCGGGCTGCAAGAGTAATTTCTAGTGCGACTTACGATGTTTGGTCGGTTGATTTACTTGAAAGCCTGGGTTGGAAACACCTAGAACTAAGGCGAACTTATCTAAAATCTGTTTTTATGTATAAAATTCTGAATAACCACACCGCACCAAATCTAAGAACATCCTTTCGATTGAATAATGAATGTGATAATACCTATGATCTTAGAAATAGAGAAACCGATTTGTCTCTTCCTAAACCGAATACCGATTCTGGTAAAAGATGCTTCAAATATAACGGAGCGGTAGTATGGAATAATTTACCGTATGAGGTAAAAGTAGCGGAATCTTTAAGTTCTTTTCAAAGAACTATTAATCAGGCAAACACTTAAAATTGGCTCGTCCTGTTGCCTACCGTATATGTAATTCTTCTTTCTTTGTTTTTGTATTTTTAATGTTTACCTGTACTGTATATTTCTCCAAATCACGCCCCTCATGGAAATCAGCTCCTAGTTGTTGAGGCCAGCGTGCTTAAATAAATTTTTGTATGTATGTATGTATCTATATCCGAATGATCAGATATGGCGCAATGGAGAGGGACGGACAGGAGATGTTGTCCCACAGCATTGAAATTTGCGTTTTTAAAGTCGTATATTGTTCGTCTTACCACTTTTGCTCTTTGAAACTTTGAAAACAAATTTGATGTCGAATTCGATAAGGTAATGATCAGATGGAAATTAGTTGGATTTATACAGTTGACATTAGTGATGAGCTCCGGAATATTGCAGAAAACACAATCCAGTTTGTTGCCACGCAGATGTGTCGGACCATCGGCCATTTGACACAGGAACTCGGTACAGGTCTGTAATAATCTCGCAGGCGCTTTGAAACCGCCTTCAGAATTTGAATCAATGTTAGGTAGATTGAAATCACCGACAAGAACAAGCTGACAATAACATGACTCGTCTAAACGATCAAGAGAGGTTCTCGAGAAATTCCGTTAATATATCTTCAGAGTTTGGTGGTATATAGAAAACTCCTAGCACGAATTTTAAACAATTGGCGGGATAAAGTTCAATCATTATTAATTCGCTTTGAGCTCCTTCAAATGACGCTCTTCTAGATGAGCGAAATTCGTTCTTTACAGCGACAAGAACTCCACCACCTCTCATGTTATCGTGACGATCTTTTCTGTGGATGGTGTAACCAGGTAAGATTTCATTATCTTCTCACAAACACATATAATATCATACTGTTCCAGGTAAACAAGGTGTTGAAATATGTTAAGCTTACTGATTCCCTTTCCGCCATCGTCGGGAAATTCTACGACTGCCTTTAGACTTCGTGCGTTTAAATACAGGGTCCTTTACAACAATTCAGTTTTGTCCCACTTTGCTTAATCGGCGTCGGTCCTGGATTAGGATGCACATCTCCACAAACTAGCATGGCGGTGGTAGAAACGTTGTATGACGCAAAAGTGTTACTGTGGTACTGAATCCTGGTCTTAAGTCATCTGTGTCTTTTTGTAAATGACGAAGGTATATATCTTGTTCGACAGGGTGGGTTTTCTAATTAGGGCAGAGTATGACGGCGCTTTGTATGTAGTTTATCATAAAATCTCTTTGAGGTGTGGCTTCAATGTAAACGTCAAATAAAGGAGAAGATTTAATATGAACGAACTTTGTACAGTACAGTAGCTGGTTTATTGCACGCAACATATTTCAATGAGAGAATGACCAGTTTTTAAATTCTAAATTCCCACACGTGCTCGAATCGAACGCATGCAGTCGTAAAGTCGTTGTTTGAATCACGCAAGAGTATCACATAGACCGTTTGCGCACACGAGAATCACAGAGTCGATACATATACAGAGTTCTCTCAGAGTTATAACTAGTGTACCCACTTTTTTGTGCACATGCTCGGCAAGTTACTAGATGCATGCATATCATTGGATGGCGGCTCGCTTTAACTGCTCGCGGAACTTGCCGAGCACGCGCAGTTGATCATTTTTTGCCCGGTCGCCTGAAAAAAAGTGAGTACATGAAAAGGTAAGTTTCCGCAGTGTTTACGACGGCCAGTTGCAACTCTGTATGTATCTACTCTGTGCCAGAATCAACCGTCCAACTTGCGCGTGCTTATGGACAAACTGTAAAATTTTTCTTCAATTTGATAAACATTTCAACAAATTTAAAATTTTAACAAAATACCTTCTATTTCCCAAAGGTAAACACTTTACTACTTTAGCCATTACTTTCTTTATAGTTTTCCTCCCGGCGGTGTCACAGTAAGGTAAAAATTGATCGTTTTACCAGGGCGTAGTAAAACACGTGTTATAGAAAACTACTTTCATATTATTTATATATTTTCCATTCTGTGGTTTTACTGAGCGATTTGACCTGCTTCTCGCGCGAGACGCGCGCGTCACGACGTTTGATCTGTGTCAATACACTCAATCACAGAATAGAATAGAAAACTACTCTGTTTTCTATTCTGTGACTCAATTTAAGCAAACTATCCTGAGTTTCCTATAAAATTCGTATAACTGCTTACCCCAAACCAATTGCAGGCATTACTGCTCCAGTGTTAAGTTTAAATGAGAGAACCTTTCAAAAAAAGCATATCATCATGTATAAATTGCGCGCAATACTACAAATTTATATATATATATATATATATATATATATATATATATATATATATATATATATATATATATATATATATATATATATATATATATATATATATATATATATATATATATATAGCTTGGTTTCATTATCCTGCAGTGATCAGAGTGAAAAAATAATGTAATAGTTCAATTTGTTTGACAATGTATAAAGTGTCAACATTTCACAGAATCAAACCAACCATCAGACTTTAGGGACCGTTCATTTTCATGGGGGGGAGGGGGGTATGGGTGATTTCTGCAAATATTCATATTTTCCCCCGGACCCTACCTTTAGTCAAACTTAGATATTCCGTTCCTCCTTACCTTAACAATAAATTTTAAGGTCCCTCATTCATTTCATTCTATAATTATAAAACTGTATATAGCATGCACTTTATAAAAGACATAAAAATGCATTCATGTACCATGTTGTTGACAGTGAATGAGTATCACATGTACTTTTTTCCTGCGGCTATTGTAATTTATATATGTATTAGAGGTTGCGCATTGGATCAGATTGGACGTTTATAATCCGACAATTGGCTAATGTTTAAAATCCGATCCAAAAATGTTTAATCCGAATCCGATCCGAGCTTTGATAAAGAATTCCGATCCGAAGAATAAATTTCTCATTCAAGTTGAAATATTTAACCAAATAAATATAAAAGCAAGAAATACAAGTCAAGAAGCTGACAGAGTGACGTCCAATTGAAGAATCAAACAAATAATGCAGCGACAACTGCGATAATTAATGCTTTCAATTGATAAATGCATGGATAATTAATTCTTGCGATAATGCGTGGAAATTAATTCATTTTATTTCGAATATCGAAGTCCGATCCGATTATCGAAGTCTGATCCGATCCGACTACGAAACTTTTATTAACAACTTTATCAATCCGATCCGAAATGTATATTTTTGTTCCGTAATCCGAACAAATCCGATCGGATTCGGATCAGATTTGCACACCTCTAATATGTATATATTTTATTAGGGAGTGCATGGTCATTATTTATGGGGGGTTGGGAAATGGGAGGGGGGGCAAACGAAGTTTAACCCTTTATAAATAGGGGGGGGGGTCAAAAAAGTTTTAACACAGAGAAAGGGGGGGGTCATAAAAGTTTTTGAACTTAAATACCATGTCTAATGTTCTGATTTCTATAATCACAAATAGCAAAAAAGAAGACTCTGAAAATGTTATTTCCAACAATCTAGAGACTCAAAATTTTCAAAATTTCCCTGCTCAGCGCCAACCATGGTAGCGCCTGGCGATCGTGGGAGTCGGGCCCACTAAGTTTAACAAGCTTTTTACCCCCTGAGTGACCCAGTTGTGGTATTTACATAAACATGCCATACCATGCAAGTATACTTAACTGATCAGATTCGGGCTATCAACGCACAATACTGTATATCCAACGCTGTATATCCAAAAATCTGTTTCAGAAAATGCTCACATTTCAGTTCTAGGGGTGGAAAAATACAAAAAATTTTCTGGGGGAGAATACCCCCAGACCCCCCTACTAGTACATACGATACCACACCAAACTTTTTGTCACCAACAACCAGGGGCGGCAGAACAGGGGGGAGGCTAAGTAAAAGTGAGGGTATTTTTTAAAATTTAGGTATGAGGGGAATAAATGTGCAATATTTTGTTTAAAATTTGTGTGTCTGGAAAAAATTTTGTTATAGGTCCGGGAAAAAATTTTTTCATCCCTTTTCCTGTATATGTCCGGAAAAATTTTTGTACCCCTAAAATGGTACACTGACCAAAATTTTTTTGGCGGGGGGAGGGGCAGGGAGGTCACAGGAAAAAATTTAGCCCCCCCAAAATGAAATCTGTTCCGCCGCCCCTGCCAACAACCATCTGTCATCTCTCCACACTCAATATAGTATGGTCCCTTTTTGTAGATGCCCACCCCCAGACAAGTTCTTAAAAAACCCTGTGTTCAAAACATTTCGCTGTATGAAGACGGGTCATGGGTTAGGGTTATGGTAGGACAAATGTTGCATTGCAAGGTAGTAACACATACATAATATATATTTTTTAATCATATATGGTAAACATTTTACCAGGGTAAAACATCATGAGCTAGATTAAACAGATTGTCCTAATATCTAACTTTACCTGCAACGCACACCTGTTTCATTGCTGTTAATTTTTCAATCCACACTGGGGAGGGGGGGGTCAGAAAAGTTTCTACTCTCATGAGGGGGAGGCACAAAAAGTTTGCCTTCAGTCTGGTGGGGGGGGGTCAAAAAAGTTTTCAATCCTTATTTTCCCAATTTCCCAACCCCCCCCCCCATAAATAATGACCACTCCCTTATATATACAGTGCAACAATGTACAATTGACACTATAATAAATGTACATCTTTGTTTGTGTTCATGCAACTATACTATAAAAATTTGTACAGCAGGGACAAAGAGCAGAAAAGAAAGTTAGTTATTATGTATTAATATTCAAAGCACCAACAGCAATCTTTCATCAGATTTATAACACGAAGTGATACCAAAGAGTTTCTAATAGATCTGATGAAACATGTACTGTGGTGAGTGTTTTGAATAGCTTCAGAAATAATCTATTTGATAAGTTCCCCATGTAAGGCAATCAAACTATGCATTCCTTGGATTCTGGATTCCGCTCCTTGGGTTCTGGATTCCACTACTTGGATTCCGGATTCCAGATTGGTCATGGATTCCGGATTCCAGAAAATTGGCCCCTGAGGATAAGGATTCCGGATTCCTCCAATGTTTGGATTCTGGATTCCGGATTGCAAAGCTATTAAAAGTCGGATTCCTGGATTACCTTACATGCATGGGTAAGTTGACTAAGTTCATTGGCCTGGTAATTTTGAAAAATCAACATTGTCTAAACAGGAGAAATTCAAAGATGAATGTAAATCTGATTTCTTTTTGTTTTTCCCCTCATAAATTTAATTAATGAGTCTTTGAAAGTTATAGATGTGTCTTCCTTCAATTTCAGGTCCCTCCAGGATTTGATTTGCCAGAATTGCAGTCCCCCCAGCCCCCAATAAATAATGAACGGTCCCTATATTAACGAAACCTCGTCATTTATGCGATATGCAAACCTTACAACTGTGTAAATATCTATACTCTATTCAGAGATTTAACTGTAAATTGACTTACCAGATCCATAGGTTTGGAGAAGTTGCTAAAAAATCCTAGAAACAGAACACCAGAAACAGGAAAAGGAAGCCAAAAAGGACGAAAAGTAATATCGCTCCGAGCATGCGCAAAAGCGTAACAACCATAATATGCCTAATCACCACCACCAACGACGCCACGAGGCAACAATCGCAACATGTCGGGGAAATCGCTTGTTGGTCATTTGTTTCGTTCTGATGATATACAACACAGAAAAGAAAATATTATCAGCTTTTTATCATCAAAACTGGACCAGCAACAAATTGACTGTGATTATTTAGAATCACTGGGCATAATAGTCTCGCATCTTCCAGATTTTTCAACGAACACAGAACCGCCCAAACTCGTATTCAATGAACAATTATGGATAAGAAACGCTTTAAACACTATATTAACTAAAACTTGTATTCCAACGCTTCGTATGCCTCGACCAACGGCGTATGATGGAGATAAAAGAGATAAGATGAAGATTTTTGAGTTAACATACGAACTTGTGTCAAAT